CATAAAAGGTTAAAATATCAACTCGTGGTTCTAAAAGATATGGGGAAAAAATTCAGTTTTGAATATTTAGGTTCGTTAATTCGAAAGCCTAAACTAAGAAGTTGTCAAGGGTATTTGTAGGAGATGTCATTCTCATAGGCAGTGACAATAGTGCTACAAAGAATAAAAAAGTGTTGTGTTAATGCTTCACATATTATTTGAGTATTAGAAATGTTGGTTTACATTGGAGTTTTGATATCGGTATTCGAGACATGTGGTGTAAAGTAGCTCTTTATGATAGAACAACAAATGAATTGTCAGTGGCCAGGAGAAATGTAAAGTTTAGTAAGGAATTAATTTAAATAAGCATCTGCCACAGCATTGGATTGACTGGACTACTGCTGACTGGAAGGTACTGTTTATGTGCCATTCTACTTCCAAATTTATTAGAGCTAGGAGGGCATACTCAGACAGCCATCGAGACCATCTGTATCAGGAGTTCTCAACCGAGAAGATTTTATAGTTTCAGGGCGGATGTGGGCAGACTTTTACTTAGCTATGAAGTATTTAGTTTTAGTGTATGAATATAAAAAGTTACTTTTATTCAAGTTTTGGTATTCACCAACTTTTCTAGACTTTTGTTGTTTAATTTATATTAGAAAATAATATTATTCTAAATTTTAATGCATATATGTATTTTGCAAGTTTTGCAAAGTGGGAATGATCTTCTAGCAGTAGTGAAAGGGGGGGAATTGGGAGCCACTGATCTGTACTGCCTTCTTGTAGTGTACTTGTATGTATGTTAGCATACTTTCGCTATGTGATTACACTTACACTGTAACGTGGTAAATTTAATATTAAAAAAAAAAAAAAGTAGTGATTTTTTTTTTCCTAGAGAGAAAAAGTATTTCTTTTTGTGCTAACTCCTTAAATATATATTAAGTGCAGATATTTTTAATAAATGGTATTCTTAATTTAAAACTCTTCATATTTAAGGTGTTGTGATTATTAAATTCATTATTTCATATTCATTATATATCCATTCTCTGCTCATGCAGTCTCCGGAACCATGAGACAAGTCATTTTTCGGAAATAGCAAAAACGATGTTAGGAGCTAACACAGCACACAGTTAATTCACAATATTTGTAATCAGCCTGAAAAAGTAAAATTTATTTTTGGAGTTAGACTGATATAGATTTAGAATAGAGAAATAGTGATACGTATTTTAAATTGAATAATATTGCTTTATGAATATTGCCTAGTTTTTAGTGTGTAACATCTTTTATACCTTTGTATAAAATAGTGTTTGTCAGAGAAGAAAGTTTATTTTCTTACACACGTGTATTAAATTCAGCATGATACTAAATGCATTTTTCTTTCATTTAAGGCAACAGAATATTAGAAACATAGGGGCATTAACATGGAAAAAACATAAGATTTGCAACAGAAATATTTTCTGCAATGTGAAAGAAACAGACTGCAACAAAATTGCACTAATAATAACAATACACTGACTACCAATAAGTATTTGGACACCTATGCAGATGACAATATCTGTGGTCCTAAGGTACGTCACGGACTCTGCCAGTATATATCGTGTAGGAAACAGCATCGGCTTTCGGTGCATGCAAGATGCCTCGCAGTTCGGACTTCTCTGATTTCGAGAAAGGTATAATTATCGGGTATCACAAATGTGGCCAATCCTTAAGGGACATATCTAGCGATCTGAAGTACCCAAAATCAACAGTGGCCTATGTGATTAAGAAGTGGAAGTTGAGCCGTGATTGTCGGAATGTGCCCCAAGTCGGCAGACAACCAAACTGGGAGATAGAGACCGACGAGTGCTGTCCAGAGAAATTCGGAAGAACCGCACCCAACCGATGGCCCACATCCGCGAGGAGTTTCAACAGGCATCCGGGAGTATTGGTTCAATGAATACCATCCGTAAGGAAGCACATCTGCTTGGTTTTCGTGGTTGTGCCTTTGAACCCATAAGCCTTTGAACACAAAGTCCAACCGCACTGCTCAGTTAATGTGGTGCAAAGCACATCGAAATTGGACTGTAGATCAGTGGAAACAGGTTCTTTGGAGTGACGAATCAAGGTTCACCTTTTACCATTCAGATGGCAAAGTCTGGGTCTGGCGTCTACCTGGAGAACGTCTCCTGCCAGAATGCATTGTGCCAACAGTCAAGTTCGGCGGAGGTGGAATTATGGTCTAGGGGTGTTTCTCCTGGTATGGGCTGGGACCCTTGGTCCCCATTCATGGTAAGCTGAACTCCGATGCCTACTGCACTATTTTGGATGACAATGTGCTTCCTACTTTGTGGCAAGTTTTACGGGTTGAACCCCTGTTACTTTCAGGACGACAATGCCTGTTGTCATGTTTTGACGTTAACCAAGGCTTGGTATGGTGCCAATGGAATTCATCGAATGGACTGGCCTGCCCAGAGTCAAGACCTGAACCCTATCGAGAACCTCTGGGACGAGTTGCATCGCCGAATTCAGGGGTGCACTACCCGTGCAAAATCTGTGAAGGAACTTCAATGTCTTCTCCAAGCAGAGTGGAAGAAAATACCACTAGCTGTCATACAAAGACTTGTGGAAAGTATACCCCGGAGGGTCCACGCTGTAATTACCTCTCGTGGAAGCTCTACCAACTATTGATTTTGAGTAAAGTTAGTTTTTCTTTTCTATCACAGGTGTCCAAATACTTATTGGTAGTCAGTGTATACTTAAGAGTACACATTGCCTTTACAGTTGGACCGAGATCATCGTGTTTTGGTTTTTGCACTAAATTCATGAACTCAGCCATTTATATAATCTAAGCATTTAAAATTGCTTCTGATATTAACAACATCTTTGAAAGATTTTATGATTTAATTATTCCACGAAACAGTAAACCATCGGCAGAACACTGCAGCTAAATTTCTCCAGAAAACAAACGATAATTTTCACGTTTCCATTTCACTCATGCGTGTCATTCAACGAAAACAAAAGCATAAGAATCTTGCCTAAATGTCATTATGCCCTGAGAAAATGATGTCATTTGAAAGTATGTCCAATCACAAATATGGATTTTCCCCTATGTGCGTGGCACGGTACAGAATGCTTGTATGCAGCCTGGTCAGGGATGATCAAGAACAAGAACTGCATCAGAAGGCTGTTTCCTATTGTCGTTGTCTCGAAGAAACCATGAAGCGAGAGAAAGATTTAGTTTTAGACTTACAGGCTGCAGCAGGAACTTGAATCTGTTGCTGCACTAATGCTTAAAGACGTTGGACTGTATGCGAGAAAACCAACTGGTTGTGTCCAACTTTCAGAGGGGGGGCCGTTTAAACTGGTGCCTTCGTGATCAATTGAGCCAAGACTACTGGGCCCAAGTATTTTTTACTGACGAGTCTTGATATAGTCTGAACAGTGATTCTAGACTTGTTTTGATCTGAAGTGAGGATGGAACACACTAATTGCCATCTCTTGTGTGTGAAATATCCCGTTTCCACAGCCGCGGCTTAATGATTTGGGGAAGAATCACAAAAAATGGCCATGCTGAGGTAACATGTCTTTTTGGAGGTTCTTTAACCACTTAGATATTTGTGAACGAAGTCTTGCAACCCCAAGTAAGCCTGTTTAGGGTTGCTGTTGACCCAGAGTTTTTGCTAATAAATGACAGTGCACGGTCTCATCGAGCATATGTGGTGTCAGAATACTTGCAAACAGAAGATATCTCTCAAATGGATTGGCCAACTTATTCTCCTGATTTGAACCCAGTTTATGCATCTGTGGGATGCCTTAGGGTGCCAAATTTCAGTGCACCAGTTTCCAGCCATGTTTCTCCAGGGGCTGAAAAGTGCACTTTTAGAAGAGTGGTATGCAATTCCAAGACTTAAATCAACACTTTTGTAAAATCTATGAAATCAGGATGTGAGATATGCGTATTTGTCTGAAGTGACCCTATGCCACATTAACCGCTTGCCTGATTATCCCAAGTTATCTTGGGTTCATATATATTGCAGTTAATTATTATCCCGAGAAAACTCGGGCGAAGCAGAATTTGTTAGTATGATTTCTTTTATCATGGTTTTACTCGGTCTGGAGGAAATGAAAGGAAATATTCAGCTTTGATTGGCATTTTGACAAATTTTGTTGGTTGCGGGGTTTTATTGGAGGGACTGATCATGTGTTTCCCTATTGTATAGTATACGTTGGCTTATGGATTAGTAATGTATAAAGAAGGATGCATGCGTTGGAAAAAAATAAAATAATGGCGATGATGGGAAGATAGTGAAAGCGATAATTTTTCAGATAGTGATTATGAAGAGGCGGGGAAAAAAAAAAAAAAAAAAAAAATCAAATCCAACGAGACAGTGCACTCTGTGCTCCCGTGAAAGAGATTCCAGTGGTAAGCTAGTAAGAAAAGAGACCAGATACCAGTGTAAAACGTCAGGTATCACTCTGTGTTGTCCCTTGTTTCAAAAACTATCATACAAAGATTAATATTTAACTTTTTTCGTTTGCTCGAGATAACTCGGGATAGTAAACTAATATTAAAAATAAATGCTTTTACACTTTCAAAAAATTAAAAATTCAACTTAAAACCTACATATTTTGATTTGTTTTGTTTTGTTGTATTTAATAATAAAATAAAAAAATGTGATTTTTTACAATTTTTTTCAAAAAAATTTGTAAGGGAAGCGGTTCAAGAAAAAAATTTTTCTCAACAGGTGACTTAATTTTCCCAACATTTTCCAGTTTCTGTTAATGTGGTTTTAGTTTTAATATTTTGTGAATAATCAACTGCCAAACGTTGTAATTGATGTTAACTAATGCTTTTGTACAAATTTCTATTAATATTTTTCATTTAGCATGAGTTACATTTTATTTCTGTTATTTTCCTTTAATTTTGATGACCAGTTTATGAACAAATACATATTTCTGTAAGTGGTATGTAGTGCATCTTAAATATGATATATGTATTAATGTAATAATAAGTTTGTTTATATATTTATTTTTAATTTTAGGCAGTTCTTGGTTCTTCAGTGTAAAGCCATCTGGCATCTGAAATGTCCCGCCAACATACATCATCTTCAGCTAATGGGCAATTCCAAAATGTTGAATCTCCAAGTCCCACCCATAAACGAAGGGTGACACAGAATGAAAACCGCATTACTCCTCCTTCATCTATGCCTCACAACCGACGTCAAACTATCAGTAGTGCAGTGTCAGGAACTCAGAAACCACCTGTTGGCCGTCAGCGCAGACAGTCTCCACATCGTCTATCTGGCAGCATTATCGTTGCTTGTGGTCAGAAAGGGCAGCCGGAAGCGGGAAGATTGGAGCGCTCAGTTTCAAATGTTGGCGAAACATCAAGTTTAAAATTGTCACGTCAAACGAGATCTCCAGAGAGACGATTGCTTGAACAACAGCATGCCAAATTTGTGTCTTCTCATCACACTACATGTTTTTCTCATAGTGGGAAACATGCCAAATCTCCTACTGCGACATCCATTTCTGTTTCCTCTCTGAATCGAAACAGAGGACCTCGCAGAGCGATAGTACGTGTTGCATCTGCAGATCTTTCAGAAGGGGGCAGTCATTCAGAACCCCTGACTACCAATGTTTCATCTATCAAGAAAGGAAGCATACCTGCTCCCTGGAGTATGAGCTCTAGAGTTCCTGGTAGTGCCAGAAAAGTTGGTTCTTCAATTAGTTCTCCATCGAGGTCATTATCTGAACCTCATGATGTTTCTTCTGGAATTGAATGTCATGATTCATCATCTCCGAGCTCTCCTCAGAGTGTGCCCATTTCAGAGAATAAAGAAAAAGAACTTGACATGGAGAAAGAGTCCTCTACCAAACTTGTTGAAGGAAAAGCATTTAAAAAAGTTTCCCCTCGGTACAATATCCGCTTGATGTTAACTAATTCTGCGTTTTCGAATGCAGAAGAACCTATGTGTTGTATGAATTCAAGCATGGTGGAAAATAATTCCAAAGAAAATGAAATGAATGAAATCAGTGATAAGGGGTTAGGTTCTCAGAAAACAGTTCCGTTAGGCAAAAGTGAATCTGATAAGGATACTATACATTTAGAATCTGATGTTAGTCCAAAATTGGAGATGACTTCAGATGATTTAGCGTCACTTAAACAAAGGACGTTATCACCACCTATAAAGTCCCCACAGAGTGACTCAGAACTAACTGAATTTGAGAAAAACACATGCGAGGAAAATACTGATGTGATACTGGATGGGGATAAATCTATAGTAGCTGATGAATTAAAAATTGTTCCTTTAGAATCCTCCTCTAGTTCCGAAGTGCGTGAAAAAGATGAAGCTGAAAAAGCCCAGGCTACATCGCCGGATGGCCGATTTTTGAAGTTCGAGGAGGAAGTGGGACGAGGATCATTCAAAACTGTGTATAAAGGATTGGATACATTGACAGGTGTAGCTGTTGCGTGGTGCGAATTACAAGTACGTGTTTTACTGACAGTTTATTCTTGATATTTTTTCATGTATATCTGGTAAGGTGAAATTAATATCTAGTTAAAGTAATTGAATGATTTGCTCAGTGTACTTTTTTGGATCTATCCAAATTAATATTTGTGCCTTTTTTTTAAAGTTTGAACTTTGAGTTTTAAAATAGCTTTATATATCTGAATATCCGACGTAGTTACAGAATATTTGTTTTGATTCTAATTTAGTTTTAATTTTGGATGTTTTACTTTACTTCTGCAACTATAGCACAGGACTGGTTAATTTTTTTTTTGTTTTTTTGTTTTTGGCATATTACTGTTTCTCTTTTAAAAAATAAATATAGTCTCAATGAAATGGGATCAAATTTAGTTTTAATGAAATGTATTGAATAGTAATTAATTTTAAACAAAAATACGGCTTAGCTCGTTGCTGGCTGAACGGAAAGGACAGCAAATACGGCACAGCGCTCAACGTGTTAAGAACGATTTATCTATGGATTAAACTCTTCTACAAGTATTAATAGTAAACCTGCTGTTTATGCTACTGTATATGAACAATTTAGTCTTTTTAGTAAAATATTGTAAAGAAGGTACCACAGGAAATAGCAATAAGTTAAGACTTAATACTAATGCTCTACAGTCAAAACTTAGAGATTTATTTAAAGAGCCAAGAAATATATTCTTAACTACCTTCATTCGCCACCTCACAGACATCATATTATTATTCAAAATTTTGTCAAAGATATATTCAAAGGTAATCTCATCGTAAGTAATCTCATCAAATAAGTAATCTCATCAAAGATTTAGTACTTAATTTCATAAAATTCAAATTCAACTGTGCTTTTCCAAATATAAAAAAAATTCTGTAGTATAAACTTTCTACATAAAAATTATGATCTTCAACTTCATAAGATTTATAAACAAGCAGAACAAAAATTTCCTGCAATAAATTTTAAAATTTCAGTTTTCTTCAAGTACAACAACAACAACAACAACAACAACAACAAAAGTAATTTTATTTCTAGCTATAATTAAGAAGATGTAGCAGCACCATGATTTTGTAAGGAAAAAATGTTTCTACCATTTGTTGACGAAGAGCACAAGCATAGACAGGAAAGCTAGACATTATTCAAAATTAATGAGATTAGACTGCGTATAAACAAAAAGAAAGAAGTTTTAGACCTATTAAATTCATTAATAAATTACATTGCATGGAAAGTATTTCTACTGGTATTGATAATTTCATCTTCAAAGTAAGTTCCCAACTAAGTTTACCTTTACATCTATTTAAAGAATTGAAGATTGAGATTATTACTCAAAGCAAAAAGAAAATGGAAAAAAATCAAGGGTTTAAAGGCATTAATAATTGGAAAAAATTTACTTCTGAAGTTTTCACAGTTAAAAAAGAAATTTACCATAACCGAAATTCATAAAGCAAACAATAATTTCAGTATTTTAGGAAAAAATTTCTACAATTATGTAATTGAAAAATTCTACCTATCGTATCTTCAAAAATAAAGAAAGAACTGTTATTAACAAAATTTCTGCTTTTCACAAAAAATGGAGAATTTCTCTTTTCACTACAACTAATAGATTTAAGTTTTTATACCGTACCAAAATTTCATAAAAATTCTGTCAAATTCAGATTTATAGGCAATAGTAATAGAAACTTCAAGAAGAAATTTTAATAATATTTTTACCACTCTACTTAAAACTATTTGTAATATAGTTTTTGAACAAGCTGACAAAAACTTCTGCTGGATTACCTACGGCAACTTGAAAAATCATTGAGGAAGTTAAAAATATTAAAATTTACAATATTAGCTGCTATGACTTTCAAAACCTCTACACGTCTCTGCCACTCGAAATCTACCAAAGTCTTTTAGAAATGACAAAATGTTTTCCTGAAATACTTAATATTCTGGATTTAAAAAAAGAATTTCTACATTGTTTTGCTTTACAATAACTATATTAAACATTCAAAATTTCTTTACCTGCAAAGATAAGGAATTCCAATGGCAAGTTCATATTCAACTCATCTTTGTAACTTCATTCTATTTTCTAAAGAATTCAAATTCCCCTAAAGCCTTTTCTAATTATGATTTATGTAAATTTGAACACATTTATAGATATATTGATGTCCAATATTATCTTAAAGCTCCAAAAGAAAAGAATATAGGTTTTTATTAAATTTTTTATTTTTTATTTATTTAAATTTTTTTCTCTTAATTACTATTCTTTTATTAAAACAAGGGTCCTCCTATATTCAAAGTTGTCATGATATACCCATGATGTGAAGACTTTTTACTTTTCTAACAACAGTTTTTTCAAGCTTTCTTCTGCATTTTTCTCTATTTTAAATTTAAATAAAAAAAAAAAAAAAAAAAATCTAAAATTAAACTTTAAGAATTTTCTAATCATTTCTACAAAGCAATTTATAAAAACTTTTTGAGTACCCTTATTGACTCTACTAAATTTAAAGTATAATTAATTATAAAATTTAATTAGTTTTACATTAAATCACATTCTTTATTTCCTGTTTGTTATTAAAAAATTCAGAATTTTTTAAAATTTCATTTTAATTAGTGAAGTACTATTTCTCTTTTTCAAAAATATCTATTTTAAATTAAAATGTTAATAGAAGTTTTAAAAAGTTTTTCTTTTGGTTTCAAAATTCTATCTTTTGTTCCAATTTTTATGATCTATTGAAAGCTATAGAATAACCTTAAGTAAATGCATGTGTAGTTATTACTTCCATTATTAAAAATAGGTGTGGGAAAAGTAATTTCTGGACCTGCGAAGAATTTATTTAGCAATTCTCAAAATAACACTACAAAGTATAAGCATAAAGCTCTCCCATAGCAAAGTTCTCCCAAAATAAAAGAAATCGCTTAACAAGAGACACATTTTCTGGTTATTGAAGTTTATCTTGTGAGGAACAGATATTTATGTTTTTGTCTTTGGAGCCTCAATAAAGTATTTTGCTTAATATTAATGCCATCATTCGATGTTCTTAACAAAATTCTGCAGTCCAGAATTCCATCAATTTCATTCAAATTCTTTTTACTTCACAATAGTTTTCAGGTTTTTTTGAAGTGGAGTTGCAGTCACCTCTGTCCATTTTAAAAGCTACTATTTTGAGTTATGAAAGCATCTGAAATAATTTTTTTGGGGTATTTTTGTGAATCCTTTTATACATGATGCCCTTATCCAGTCTTTTTCTTTACTGAATCCTAAAGGATTTCATTGTAAACTCAGTTGGTGTTCCCAACTCCTATGCGTAAATATAAAACAGGATGCATTTATAGCTTTCTGAACTGCAATTTTATTTCAGAATAGTTAAATGGATTCATTCTGGGCTATTTTTGTATTTGTCCTTCTTAAGGACCAAATTTAAGGAGCTGTATTTCATCCCTGTTTTTCAATGTTGCACTAATTGTTCTGGTTATGATACGAGTTTGTTTAAAGTTTCACAAATAAACACAAATTAAAACAAATGCGATGAGATTTCCTAATTTATGATGATGTATCTTTTAGATTCAACTGTGTCTAAAAAAATGAAAATAAATGAGTTTACCAGTCGACTAGTTGTAATGGAAGTATTTTTATAAATTTAACAATGAACTAATTCTTTGAAAATTCATGCTTATGTTCAAGATATGCTACAAAATCTGATGTTGAGCACCATTAAATGGATTACTTCTAAAAATGCCAATATAAACTAACTGCCTTTCTGGTGATTTTTGCGGCCCAACATAGAAAATGTGACACCATGAAAGATTGGGTAGAATGTGATGTCAATTTATACACAGAGTATGCTATTTATAGAAAGATAAATTTGTACAGTGCTGAAATATGCAGGGAGTCGGTAAGATGTAGGACCAGTTCTTGTGGTGATGCAAGCTGCTACCCTACTAGATACAGATTCAAATAGTGTATGGATAGTGCTTTGAGGAATGGAAACTCATGTGCTCAGAACTCTCCTCCAAAGTTTGTTCTCTGATAGCAGCTGCAGAGGAAGACCAGTAACATCCCCCATATTCTTGATTGGCGAAAGATAGGAGACATCACAGGCTAAAAAGCAATGAGATACTCTGCAAGGCTTGCGAGCTAACGAGTGACGTGTGCTGTGTCCCGTTTTCCTGCTGGAAAATACCAGCCCCACTGGACGAAAGCGCACGACTAAATCCCACTGTGATAATTGCCCACGCAACAAACTGAAAAACCCTCACCGATGTATGCTACATTGAAATTAATATTTCTTCCCATTTTTTCCAGTTATGCAAAGAATATTCATAAAAAAGATTAAATAAAAATAAATCAAGTTAATAACAAATAATTGGACAATAAATTAATGGAACATATTTTATTTTGAGCTTCGGCTGAATTAAAACCCTATATGTATATCGAAAAGAGGGTCAAGCAAAATAAAATTAATATTATTAGGAACATATATTTACGTATAACTTTGTAATTATATTTGTATGACAAAAGGAAGTGCCGCTCGTATATGTCTGATAAAGGGAATTCTGGTCATACTGCGTCTTTTAATTCTACAAAATTATCAGGAGCATAAGATGGATGTAAATTTTCTTTATGTACAAAGAATAATTTATAAATTATTTAACAGTTCAGAAATTCTTCACTAGTCGATGCAGTAAGGATGTCATCAAAATTAGGGATTCAAAAATCCAATCCAATAAAAACTTCATGTATAAAAGGTTGGAAAGTTTGGCTTGAATTACGTAACCCAAACAGCATAGCCAAAAATTCAAAAAGACCAAAAGGGGTAGTGATGACCATTTTCGGAATGTCTGCAGGATTAACAGGGATCTGATGATAGGCACGAGCTAAATCAAGAGTTGCGAATATGTTCTTTCCTGGAAACATTTGAGTGCAATCCTGAATATGGGGTACGGTATAACGATTCGGGTTGGTAAGCGACGATAATCCCTGCATGGTCGCCATTTGCCTTACGAACCATATGCAGGGGGCTTG